CTGAAGGTGTTTTTGGTTGTCACAACTATGAAGATAATGATACTGGTGCTAAAAGGTAGCACCATGGATGTTACTAAGCATTCTACAATGCACAGGACAGCTTCCACAAGGTCCCACGAATGTCAACAGTGCTAAGGCTGAGGAACACGACTGTATTTTTATCATCTGACTACATGTCAGTCGTCCCTAGGGACTGTAGATTCTGTCAGATGATCTATGCTACATAACTCTTTATAAAATTTCTGTGTCTCATACAAGACTTTCCCTCAGTAGGTACTCAATTGATAACCATAGACAAATGGAAGGATTTACACCACCACCGCCGCATTTTACTTACTCTGTAAGAAAACTTGAGTTTTCGAAGTTCGTTCTCTAACTTGCTCTGGTATTCTTGAGATCCTTTCATATAGCTCAAACCAAGATTTTCAACTGCTTTTAATACTAAAACAAGAGAAATAGTGTATCAGTGCAAGATAAGAAAAAGAAAGGACAAAAGGCCGAAACCAATAAAATCTAGGACCCTTTAGTAGTTCCACAATTGCTTATTTGTAAAGGACACTGTGAGTTTTATTTTCTGCAAGTATGTTACATAAATTAAATGTTTATATAATTTAATCTCAATCTACCTGCAGAAAATATGTGTCCCACAACATCTGGAATTATCTAATACCGGGGATTCTCAAACACAAAGAGGGAGAAATAGCAGATCATCACTGTAATACTGAGCTACTATTGGTAAGGGAAGAAAGATACCTTTCTAGGGTATCAGGGTAGGAAAAGACTAAACTGTGTACATCCTTCATGTGGAGTAGTCTCTTAAAGGTCTGCTTCATGTACTCAGTACAAATATGCACACACAAGAGGAAAGTAAAAGGACATAGAGGAAAGAGTTAGGAGGCAAAGGTCATGTATAGAGGTCTAAATACAGGCATGTACAAATGTAAATATATTTATATATGAGGATCGGGAAATAGATCTATGTGCATATCTTTATAGGTTTACTATTAAGGTAGCAGATGGACCTTGGCCTCCACTCAAGTACTCCCTCAATGCAAGAATACTTTGTTCTATTAAACTGGCATTCTATGATGCTCACCTTCCTAACACAATTGCTGAAGACAAATGGGTGCATTAGCAAGTGTGGTGAAGAAACCTGATGGAGTCCAGCAATCAAAAAATATAGTATCTAGGGTCTTAAAGACTTGAAGGTAAACAAGCTGCAATCTAGCTGAGAAGCAACAAAGCCCACATGGAAGAAGGAAACCAGCCTGTGTGATCACGAGGTACCGAAGGGATCAGTTGTCAGGCAGTAAAGAACAAAACAATCGTATCATAGTGTGCTCACCTCCCCGATACCATCGCTGAAGACAAATGGGTGCATAAGCAAATGTGGTGAATAAAGCTGATGGTGCCCGACTATCAAAAGATATAGCATCTGGAGTCTTAAAGGCTTGAAGGTAAACAAGTGGCCAACTAGCTGAGAAGCAACAAAGCCCACATGGAAGAAGCACACCAGTCTTTGTGATCACGAGGTGTCGAAGCAATGAGGTATCAGGCATCAAAGAACAAAAAATCATTTCATTGTGAATGAGTGGGAGTGCAGATTGGGGACCCAAAGCCCATGTGTAGGCAACTGGATATCCCCTTACAGAAGGGTCACGGGGAAGAGATGAGCCAGTCAGGGTGCAGGGTA